AGGGGTCAGGGGGTGCCCAAGGTCGGGGGGGTTAGAAGGGAGGAGGGTGTCCCAGGGTCAAACGCGGTGGGGGAGAATGAAATGTAGGCTCTCCTTGACTTCCTAATCTCTAACAGCTGGATTGGGGGGGAGCGAGCGAAGCGAGCGAGGGGGCGAAGCCCCCCGGGGTTGGCGAGCGAAGCGAGCAAGGGGCGAAGCCCCCTAGTGTGTAAATACAATTTTTCTATCAACATTTTATTGAAGGGCTGAGGGGAGAGACAGAACTGTAAAAACGGCAATTGGTTGTATAGAAGAAAGGGATAATAAGAATAATGATGATGATAACATTCAAGTAAGTTGAAAATCTGACAAAATTAGTTGAAAAGAAATCTTATTCACTTTAATAAAATGAAATAAATAATGAATTATACATGATAGAAGTAAATGATGTGCAGAATAATCATTCGGAAGTATATTGCTAATTTATTAGCAAAAATTAATATACTATATAAGGTATTCCATGCCAAATGAGTCAACGGCTAACTCTCACCCTCTTGAAAATTGATGGCGATTTTTTCTACGATTAGGGGGCTTGAAAAACTATCTCTCAAATTTTTTCAGATTTTTTTGACAGCCCAGTTCGGAAATATGATTTTTTTCAAATTGTTCCGTTTTTTTACAATAACTCGAGTTCTACTCATCCGATTTCGATTTATTAGGGGGCAAAATTTTCCATTTTTCACCACCTATAAGAATGTTTTTTATAATTTTTTTTCCGATCTTTAGATGCTTGAAATAACAAATTTTCGAAAAAAAAGTTGAGAAACTTAAATTTTGCCAATTACGTCACGATCGATTATTTTAATTTTTTTTTCAGTAATTCTTATAATGAAAACGAAAATTTTGAGCCATCATATATGTTGGGTTCCATGCAGGATTTATTTTTTTTATTTTTTCTTTTTAAAATTGCGAAAATTTGGTGAAAACACCTTAAAACGACTTTAATTATGTGTGGAAAAAATATGTAATATACAGGTATATATTTAAATTTACTTCATACTGTTTACAATCAAAGTGAAGCAATGACATTTTGGGGTATTTTGACCGAATTTGCGGAATCTTGAAAATAAAAAATAGAAAATGAAATAGATCTAAGACGAAACCCAACATGTATGACGGGTCAAAATTTTTGTTTTGATTATAGGAATTACTGAAAAAAAAAAAAATCAACCGTGACGTAATTAGCCAAATTCAAGTTTTTCAACTTTTTTTTCGAAAATTCGTTATTTCGAGCATCTAGAGATTGGAAAAAATTTGGACAAAAAACATTCTCATAGGTGGTGAAAAATGGAAAATTTTGATCCCTAATAAATCGAAATCGGATGAGTAAAACTCGAGTTATTGTAAAAAAAAAGAACAATTTGAAAAAAAAATATCTCCGAACTGGGCTGTCAAAAAAATCTTAAAAAATTTGAGAGATAGTTTTTCAAGCCCCCCAATCGTAGAAAAAATCGCCATCAATTTTCAAGAGGGTGAGAGTCAGCCGTTGACTCATTTGGCATGGAATACCTCATATGCAAAATAAGAGCAATTTCCCACTTCTTTTTCCGCAAAAAATTTCAAAAAGCAAAATATGTAGAAAAGCGATTGCCAGTTACTTTTTTAATATTCAGAATTTAAAACCATATAAAGGGTTTTATACTTTAAAGTCGAATTACAGTCAGGCTTTAAGGTGGAATTTGGGGTTAGTTACTTAGACCTAAAGAAAAAAGATGTAAATTTATTAAAACTCAAGAAGAAACTTTATATCGATAAAGTCAGAGACATTCTGGCGAAGTTCCACCAGTCTTCAGAATTCTGGTTTACTCTGAACAAATTCAGGCCGTACTCCTCTACAGTATCAGTTATTTCCTTAGATGAATGGTACCAATTTTATCAGCAAATCACACCCCCAAAAATATTTTTTGAGATCTTCTTCCCCGCTTTCACCGATACTTTATTAGATTCGCCAATTGGTCACAAGAAACTTGTTTCTTGTATTCCTAAACTAAAGCTAGGCAAGGCTCCCGGCCCAGATGAGATTTCAAATGAATTTTTGAAGTTTCTTCTTTCTAACTGGATTCTTTACCTTGAGACTCACTTCAATAAAACATTAGATGCCGAAAGAGTGCCTGATTCATGGGGGTCTGCCGCCTTGTCTATGCTTTTTAAAAAAGGAGATAAACACGATCCTCTGAACTATAGAGGTATTGCCTTATGCAACTGTATTACAAAGTTATTCACACAGATCTTAAGAGACAGAATCCAGAAAGGGGCCGATAGAGAGCAGATTTTAGATGAGAGTCAAGCGGGATTCCGGCCCGGCAGAAGTTGTTTGGACCAGATTTTTGTCCTGAATAATGCAATTCAAATGCAATTGAGATTAGGTAGTATAAAAGTTTATAGTGTTTTCGTGGATTATAGTCGCGCCTTTGACTCGGTGTCGCATCAGAAACTCTGGTCCAAATTGCTGAAGCTGTNACTGTATTACAAAGTTATTCACACAGATCTTAAGAGACAGAATCCAGAAAGGGGCCGATAGAGAGCAGATTTTAGATGAGAGTCAAGCGGGATTCCGGCCCGGCAGAAGTTGTTTGGACCAGATTTTTGTCCTGAATAATGCAATTCAAATGCAATTGAGATTAGGTAGTATAAAAGTTTATAGTGTTTTCGTGGATTATAGTCGCGCCTTTGACTCGGTGTCGCATCAGAAACTCTGGTCCAAATTGCTGAAGCTGTGCCTGACCCCCAAAATTGTCAAGATTCTGAAGTCATTGTATGACTGTGCCTCTATCAGAGTTAAAGCGGGTGGATTACTTTCTGAGGAGATACCAGTCTCTCAGGGAGTTCTACAGGGAGAATCGCTCAGCCCTTTGCTTTTTATTCTTTATATCTCGGACCTGGAAAAATACTTGAGAAGCCTTGGTTTTAAAGGAGTAAATATTAATGGTTAGGATGATGTACTTCTTCTGCTCTACGCTGATGACCTAGTCATCCTGACTGAGAATGAATTAATGTTACAAAAGATTTTAGATGCTCTGCATTCCTATTGCCTAGAAAATGAATTGACTGTTAACTCAGATAAGACCAAGGTTATGGTATTTAGAGAGAGTGGTTATCTAGGTCCCTCAGTAGAATTCATTTATGACTCGAAAGTCTTGGAGATTGTCTCGTCCTATATGTATCTTGGAGTTTTATTCAGCAGTTCTTCTCTGGGTTCTATTGCAGCTCATGAAGCTGTACGTAAAGCTAAACAAGCGAACGGCTCGGTGATCAGTCTCCTTGCCAATTCAAGATGCGATTCATGGAACTCAATGAAGAAGCTGTTCGAATCTATTTCCAAGCCTACTCTATTGTATGCCAGTCCTGTTTGGTCTCTAGATTATTTTGATCTGATTGAATCCGTGCAAATTGCTTTCTTTAAAAGATTAATTTATCTCCCCAGTTGCACTCCCAACTGCACGTTAAGGCTCGAGCTAGGATTGGTTAGAGTCGAATATGCTGTCATGAAGGATACTTTAAACTACATCATTAAAATATTGAAAATGCCAAATGATCGTCTCCCAAAGATTTGTTATTGACAACTAATGAGGTATGCACTCAACCCGAATCCGTACAAGGATCCCTGTAAATTCCGTAAATTTAATTGGATCACTAGAATTAAGGAATTTTTAACTCTTGTAGACTGTCTTGATCTCTGGGGTGATTTCGATGCTAATAGTTGGTTGAGAGCTAAAGAGAGAATGCTGGAGATATAAGAAGGTACTAATCGACCGGGATTTGGCAGAATGGTCCTTAATCACGCATAAGATTCCAATTGAAAGAGGCCCCAATTCTTTTGACAATTCATATCTAACCCGCAGATGCCCTATTGCCATGCTGAGGGTTAAAGCTCAGTTGAGGTTAGCTAGCCCATATAATTGCAAATTCGTAATTGCAGGGAATGTTCACAAACTTCTTCCCTTCGAGATCTGCCGTTGCTGCTCTTCTGGAGCCCGCGAATCGATTCTCCACGTGTTGCAATTTTGCCCTTTTTATAATACTCTCCGCTTAAAGTTTATCTCGCCTTGCTTGCGTGGTTTCAATACGACTGACTATTTGTCCTTTATAAACTCACCGGATAAATCCTTCACCAGATCTCTCTTTTTCTTTCTATCCAGTGCCCTCTCTTTAAGAGAATCTTTCCTTTTAAGCCAGGAGAATTTATACTTTAAACCTGACCAGCTGATAACCCAATACCTGATATTACATGATAAGCCTGAAGATAAAGAGACAGAGTACGATTTTCTGTAAATTAAACCTTCCTCTGCGAAATAAACCCCCCTCTCTGCAGCATCCAACTGTAACTGTAATCTAGTTTATTATTATTTCTTTTTAGTCTCTAATTTTATGATTTTTCTATCTTTAAATTGTTCATTAGAGCCCTTCTAGCCCCTAAGCACACCTATGTTTACACATGTACTTTTATTGATTCTTTTGTTACTTAATTTGTATGAACCTCACCTGTCATAGGGAGTCCACCCCTAGGTGACAGATATAATAAATAAATAAATAATAAATACTTTAAAGTCGAATTATTTCGCACATTTAATACATTTTTGCATGTAAAAAAAATTAATTACGCTATTTAGGACTCAAATATGGAAAAAAACGTCTCGTGATTGTTTTTCTGCACATTTCTTTCAAATTGTAGAGAAAACAATTTTTTTAATCGTTATTTTACATCGCTTCAACCCGGTTGGGGTATACTGCGATGATGATCAAGACTTTAAATGGTTAGATTTCACCATTCTGTCCGGCCGGGTTTTGAACGCGGAACCTTTCGCATGTAAGGCAACGAACTTACCCACCGCGCCAAGCCACCAGGTAAAAAAAAAAAAAAAAAGTTCGCAATCTCAAAAATTATATCATTTTAGGCTTTCTACATGGCGAAGGGATAACAAACAATGAGTTTTCTCACACTAATTATCAGTTTATGTTCACATTACATATAGGGGAAACATATAGAGATCCGTACTTCGATGTCCTGTAATTTTTGAAACTCATAAAAGTCTTCTTTCGACGAGACGAAGAAATTGTCGCATTGGGCATTGAGGAGTGGCTGAATATTCAAATATTCATGTCACCAGTTACGGATGTGATAGCGCAAAAACAGAAATTTATGAATGTCCCGAATTTCTGATATTCATCGAATGTCTCATCACACATTGTAGGGGAGACCAATGAGTTATCAACAATCTTGAGTTAATTAAAACCATGAATGTAAAATTCTTTCGTATTCAAATTCGATTGACATAATATGGACGAATAATAGTTTAGAATGTTTGAGATTCGTCCCTAGTTTTCCTCCTACGTCTATCACATAAAAATGTAGTTTTCCCTAAGAATGACGGCTCAAAACGCGAGCCGATTATCTCGTGGACGGTACAGACAACTGCACACCCAAAAAAATAATGTTTTATTATAAGATTTTCAAGGTCTTCAAATAAAATTTTCACGTCTCCATTTGAAGCCTGAACGTCTTAAGTTGAGAGTTATAAAAGTCTCAATTTAAGACTTGGAGATCTCAATTTAAGGAACTTCCGCAGTAAGTATACTTGGTGAAAATTTCGAAATGGTATAAAGACGCAATATTTGGCTCAAAACTATTCCCAAAATTTCAAGTACCTTGTCCACCCCATTTTCGAGATATACATCGTCAAAAATGGAAAAAACACAAAAATTGAATGTTTGGTGATGCATATCTCAAAAATGGGGTGGACCAGGGACTTGAAATTTTGGGAATATCTTTTTAATGTGGTCAACAACATATGATCCAAATATTGCGTCTTTATACCATTTCGAAATTTTCACCAAGTATACTTACTGCGGAAGTACCTTAAGCTTTCTCAAAGTCTTCAGTCGAGACTCTGGAAGGTCTTAATTTGAGCCTTTTATAGACTCTAATAATGGAGTCTGTGAATTTGAGCCTGTTTTTTTAAGACTTTTGAATGCCTCAAACTTCAGAACTCAACTTGAAGAAAAATTTCAAGCTGGGTTCCGAAAATCTTAACTTGGGGCATTCAAAGCTCTCAACGTGAGACTTTGAATGTCTGAATGTGAGACCTTCCGAAGGCTTAACTAGGCTTAAATTGAGACCTCGAAGTCTTAAATTGAGACTTTTAACACCCTCAACTTAAGACAGTGTCTTAAGCTTCTTATTCACACTTCAAATTCAGACTTTCGAAAATTTTCTTTTAAGACCATTAAAATCTTAAAATAAGGTATTATTTTTTTGGGTATGATTCAAAATTTCATAGACGTAGGGGTGAGTGGAGTAAAATGAAAACTTTGATTTTTTTTTCCAATTTATGTCAAGGATTTATTGAATTCCAAGTGATTTTTTCCATGGAAAGTACGATCTTTCCCCTTTATAATGAACTTAGACTGAACCAATTAATGATCTTGTCAGTGAGTTATGAGCATCGAAAAGAACGTCTAAATTACCCTTTTTACCCCACCCTCTCCTATTTAACATTCCACATTTTTTTTCTATCTTTCCAGCATCTTAATCATCATAAAATTATTAAACCGATTATGTCACCAGCCTCGAGATTATCTCAGTAATTATTGATATTGAAGGAAAATGCCACAGGAACTCTGCAGAAAATATCTTCAGTTAGAGGCGAATGAGCCAAAAGGAACATTTTTTACTTTTTTTTTCAAATTACCCCATTCTATTGAATGTTCAATGAAATTGGATGACTTGGAATTTTTCTTTTCCATGAAAAATACAATTCTTTCTCCTTGAAATGAGCCTAAACTGGCCGTACTTGATAATTTTTTTTCTGTTATAAACATTAGAAATTTATTTTATGGCGGAAGGTGGAATGAGAGAATGGAATAGGAGTTCTTTGTATCCTTTAGGCGAATTCAATAAATACATATTACATTAGAAAAGCCAAAAGTATTAATTTTGCCCCACTCTCCCTTATTAAAAAATCTCAAGAAATTTTATTAACTTGACATTTAAAATTCGAGCTTCAACATTTAGGGGACGGTGGGGTAAAATGGACAGTTTAGACTGTTTAAAAATTATTCGTAGCTCGGAAACAAATTTATCAATTGAGCTCAGTTTAGGCTCGGCATAAAGGGAAAGAATTGTTCTTTGTATTGAAAAATTATTAAATTTTATCAACATTTCAACCCTTTGTTAACATTTAAAAAACAGTCAAAAGTGTCCGTTTTACCCCAACCACCTCTACTCCTAAAATACTTAATTTTCCAAAGACTCGAATAACTATCCCGGCCTCGTCTCACACTCCCAACATTTTCCCCAAACCCTTATCAAAATTCAAATATTCATACCCGTTTTCCGGTATCAGGTAGACCAGCATCACGATTCCCAACACTTCCATTCCCAGTCTCATCACTTGTTGCACAGCTCAAAAACAAGTAAATCCCCAAAACCAACAATGTCCTCGTCCCAACCATACTGGACTATTTTTATCATGAATAAATCCCCCTCAAAATAATCTCGATTCTAATTGCAAAAAATAAAAACACTCAGTGAAAGTGAAAACAAAAAGAAACAACACCTTCCTGGGAACCCCCACCACGATATCAGCAGCAAAATAGATTAACTAGAATCACCAAATAAAATGAAATGATAAAGAATGATAGTGTCCAGAGGAATCATGCTCGTGCTCACATAGTTTCGAGCGCGATTGACTGTGATTGACTGGGGCAAACTAATGTCGTCTGAAGTTTATCCAATTGCTAAATTCACTTTGCACTACTGCTTGGGAGGAATACCCAACCTCTATTCTCTCACTCTTTCCTCAATGCCTCTTTTTCTATTTACTATTCTATTCCAGATTGCTGGCTATAACCCCCTCCAACGGAGTGGGGGCAAGTGTCATATTGCTTTCTCAAAAGTAATTTTTTTTGTGGTGCCCTCTGTCCAATGCTCCAAGAATTTCCCAAAATCAGGGCTTCCTTCCGTGATTTAAAACAACTCTTCTGTCCAATGATTAGAGCGGGTACCCCAGACAAAACTTTTTATATATTTTTTTCTTTCTCTTCTTCCGTAGCAACGTTCCGGTCCCAGTTAAATGTGTAGAAAATCCCCATTAGATAAGACAAATGAAAAATGATTAACAAAAATGAGAAATTACCAATACAAATAACCTATTTTATCTTATCAAATTTTGACATTATTTCGTATACAAAAATTAGGGGAGAGTGGGGCAATACTGCGAACTAATTTTTTTTCAAAAAATTTTCAAAATTTTTTTTTTCAAAAATTTGAATTTTTTTTATTCAAAATTCAATTTTTTGAAAATTGTTTGATTGGGCAAAAATGGGTGGTCAAAAAATTTTCAAAAAGTTTTCAATAATCGAATTTTTAAAAATTGCTTCTTGGCAATTGACTTGAATTTTAATCAAGAAAATTTTCAACAGACATTTTCCAACAGAATCGTGTCGATATCTTTTTATAGAGAGAAATTAGAGTTGAAACAGATATTAATAAATAAACTTCAACTCTATTAAATTTTGCATTGAAGTTTGAAATATAGAGTAGCTTTGGATTTCCTGTTTTACTATTGAAATATCTTCGAAATTATTGATTTTTTTCAATGAACAATTGAACGCACGTCCTACACAACTGATCTTTTGTCCATTTGCGAAATTTGTAAGATGGCTACTTTTCTACTTACAAAGGAAATCACCATAAAACAATGGGAGGAGGGGACGATGAATGTGCAAAGAAAAATTTGGTTTATCACCCCCCACGACAAAACTCAAAAATGAGTTTTTTTTTCAATTTGAAAATCGCAGTGACTAGTTATGACTAGTGTTTCAGAAATTGAACAACATTGTTGAAACATAAAAAATTGAGGAAGAAATCGAAGTGTCCGTTTTACCCCGTTTTTGCTTTACCTTATAACTCCTACAACGCAGTCTTATGACAATGTGTGTGACGTTTTTACTAATTTCAAATGAAGTCGGAACAGGAAATTTGATCCAATTCAACTTATTATTTAAACCGGGTGTCCATTTGGCCCACCCTCCCCTGTTGATTATTTCAATAGCTTCAAATTTATTTTCAATGAATATTTTTTGGAGATCATTATGTAAATCAATTTGACATTTTGTGACTAATTCTTAATAAGGTACTTCCTCAGTGAGTTATACTTGGTGAAAATTTCGCAATGAACTGAAGACCTGAAATTTGGATCATGTGTTGTCGAGGACATGTAAAAACGACTCCCAAAATTTCAAGTATTTTTTCCACGCGAATTTTTGAGATATCCATTGTCAAACATTCAATTTTTGTCTTTTTTAAGTTTTTGTCGATGCATATCTCAAAAATTCGCGTGGAAAAAAATACTTGAAATTTTGGGAATCGTTTTCACATGTTCTCAACAACATATGATCCAAATTTTAGGTTTTCATTTCATTGCGAAATTTTCACCAAGTAGGGGAGGGGAGGGCAAAATGGGGGATGAAAACGTACAGGCTAATTATGAGTGTTTTTTGGTAAAAATTACTTATATTTGAGGTAAAATATGGCTCCAGCATGAGTTGAAATCATATCAATTCAAAAAAAATAATTGAAGGACAAAATGGGAATGCCCCAATTGAAATACCTCAAAATTGCGTTGATTGACTTTAATTATAAATAGTATGAAATTAATTAAAATGTATACTTATATTATATGTTACGTATTTTTTCGATACATAATCGAAGTCATCTCAGTGTGTTTTGACCAAATTCGCGGAATATCGACAAGAAAAGATTGAAAATAAAATGGGTCCAGGACGAAACCTAACATGTTTGACAGCTCAAAATACTTATTTTGATGACAAGAATTAATGAAAAAAATGCGAGAAAAATAAAATATGACATAATTTTGAAAATTCAAGTTTTTCAACTCTTTTTTAAATTCGTTATTATGAGCACCTAGGGATCGGCAAAAAAAATACTCAAAATATTCTTATAGATAGTAGAAAATGGAAAATTTTGATGGGTTATAAATGAAAATCCAATGAATAGAACTGAACTTATTGACAAATGAAGAAAAAATCATATCTCTGAAATGGATTGTCGAAAAAATCTGAAAAAAATTGAGAGATAATTTTTAATTAACTCATCTGGTAGTTATTTGATACTTTTCTCGCAAAGTCATCATTATTTCAATTTTTGCGAAAATTTTGAGGCGCCCCATTTTGACCACCCTGCCCCGTTTTGCCCTACCCTCCCCTATAACTCACTGAAGAAGTACCTGAAACCATCCCTTGTTCTCAACATTTCTTTTTGCCTTCTTCTTTTGCCTGGCTTCTCCACACCGCAGCAGTTCGTGAATGCTCGGAGCTGACCGAAGGGACACGAGAGCTCACGAGAGAGCCGCCGAAGGGTTCAAACTGCGAGCACATGTGACGGATTTGTGAGAGGTTAGTCAACAAAAATAGGCCCAGGCACGTTGTCCCCCATTTACTCCAAAATAAATCGATTTAGACACCCCAATTAATTTCCTCAACCCAAAAGTGTCAAATGTTTAATCTAATTTCATTAATGAAAAATGAATGAATGATTGCTTTTGTTTTCAGATGGTGATTTACAATTCTGTGTTTCAAGAGGGAAGAAACGAGATGATCGAGGACAGTGACGACAGTGATGAAACGTCAGACGTCAGTATGTCCAGTGACTCTGATACTTCTGATTCAGGAAGTGATGAGGATGAGGATCCAACGGCTTTTGGGAGGGAAGATAATGGGGAGGAGGATGACTTGGTACTGGCCATTGAGCACTCGAGGAAACTTCATCGAGAGCATCCTCCTGCCATTCCCACTGAGGAGTTTGTCGTGAATGTTTGTTTCCATCCTGAGGAGGAGATCATCGCTCTGGCTAATGTCGAGGGAGATATTCTGTTGTATAAGTATGATAATGAGGAGAATACCTTGATGACGACGATCGAAGTGCATGAAAAGGCCTGCAGGGATGTTCAGTTCAGTGGAAAAGGGGATGCCATTTTCTCGGTTAGTAAGGATAAGTCTGTGGCGATTACCGATGTGGCCAGTGGAAAACTCGAACGGATTTATGAGAAAGCGCATGAGTAAGTGGTTTTTTTTATTCGAGGGGTGATTTCATGGGTTTATTTACGATTTTTGCTTACAAATGGAAGCTTTGTGATCGTTCAAATTTTAGTTTAGAATTTTTTGTTTCTTCAATTGTTCGCTAATGAATGGATGGAATTGAATTTTTTTTTTCAAATGTAGATATTGTCGAGCCCTATCGATCGCCATTAATTCAAATTTGATTGATCGATTAGTTCTTTCAATTCTTGAATTTTTTCGAAAATTGGTTGTCCCACGATAGGGGAGGCTGGGGTAAAACGGGGCACTAGACTTTTTTAAAAATGTTAATGAGGGGTTGAAATGTTGAGGAAATTTAATAATTTTTTTTTCAATACAAAGAACAATCCTTTTCCTTTGTGACGAGCCTAAACTGAGCTCAATTGATAAATTTGTTTCTGAGTTATGAACAATGAAAAAAAAGTCTAAAGTGTCCATTTTACCCCGCCCCCTCCTAACTAAAAAAAATTGCCTGAATTGAATGAATGATGGCTTAAAAAATTTGTTTGGATGTCCATTGAACCGAGGTCGAAGATGGCGACAGCAATTACATCATAATAATCCAATAAAAATTTTCCCTAGAGATTGAAAAATGAAAAATTCTGTTTTCGTGTTGATCTGATTTCTCTTCCTTTTTTCAGTTTTTTTCATCAGAAGTAGATAATAGAAAGAAAATACATTGGTTTTTCTTCATTATTAAAAAAAAAAACGTTTTGAAATTTTCAAGGTTAAAAAATCGATTTTTAAAATTTATTTCTGATTATCCTTCCTCATAGTTTCCGTATTTCCTGTTTCTGTGGGCGGAATACGAGCACAGAAATTGGAAATGTTAATCACCCTTCATTTTTTAAGTAGAAAAAAACAATTTAAAAAATTTCGAAGACATAGAAAAATAGATTTTTCAAACTTATTGATACTGATTGATGATGATCGATCTCTCTTTGCAATTTCCTTCTTCGGTTCCATTGAAATGAGATCAAAGGGATGTAAAATGTTCATATTCGTTCACATTTTTAGATCATTTGTACTAATTAATTTAAAGAAAAAAAAAGAAATGAAAAATTTTAGGCATGATTATCGAAAATTGTATGTCGATCTGTATTCTCACGTGTTTATGAGGAATTCCTCTTCATTTAATGTTGTAACTTATGCATTAAGAACAAAAATATATATAATAACAATGAGAATAAATAAAATAAAATAAATCTAATTATACAGACAGAAATGGAAGAAAAATAAAATAAAATTACATCGTATAAATTAATCTAGTTCGCTAGTAAGAATAATGACGATAACATTCAAATAAGTTGAAAATCTGACAAAATTAGTTGAAAAGAAATCTTATTCAAATTGATAAAATAAAATAAACAATGAATTATACATAATAGAAAGACATGGTGTGCAAAATAACCACTCGGAAGCATATTGCTAGTAATTGGGTAATTGGGTGGTGCCAGGTGGTATGACCGTTGTGGTCTTTTACCTACCGGTCCCAGTACCTACGCGGTACCCCAGCCTAATTCCCTACCCGCACTTGCCTCTAAGCTAACTTATATCTAACTCCACATAACTAACTCCACATGCACTGGGTTCGTTTTCCGGCGATGAAAAAATCTTTCATCACCGGGACTCGAACCTGCGCTACTGGGACGCTTTGGTTTATAGGGCCAGCACGCTGACGACGAGCCCAAAGACGTCCTCGGAAGCATATTGCTAATTTATTATCAAAAATAACTACACTATATCAGACATCGGCATAATCGTAATTTTGAATTACAGTTAAATTTTGAATGAGTCAATTATTAATATTACTCACCAATTTTGTGATTATTAAATTAACCATCAATTTAAATATTCAAATTCCGAATTTATCATTAAGCAATAATTGAGAAATTTAAATTACCAATTATTATATTATTTTTCAAATTTCAATGAAGATATGTAAAAACTTGATTATTGTAAGGTGCAACTTCTCATAAAATTAATAAATTAGTGATTAATGCTAATCAATGTAGGGGAGGTTGGGGTAAAATGGACTTTTGACTTTTTTAAAAATATTCGTGACGGGTTGAAATGTTGATGAAATTTAATTTTTTTTTTCAATACAAAGAATAATTCTTTCCCTTTGTGATGAGCCTAAACTGAGCTCTATTGATACATTTGTTTCTGAGTTATGAATAGTTGTTAAAAAGTCTGAAGTGTCCATTTTAGCCTACTCTCCCCTACTATATGCAGTACAAGAGTAATTTTCCCCTTATTTTTTATTCTGGAGGTGATCTGATGGGTTTATTTGTGGATTTTTTCATTGCAGATGCCCTATTTATACCACTACGATCATCAATGAGAATGTATTTGCCACTGGAGATGATGATGGAACAATCAAAAGTAATATGTTATCCCTAATTTTTCGGTTTCAAGGTTCTTTCAAATGTGAAATTTCGAAATAAAAATCGAACAAAAAGGCAATCTAGATAACGTTCGGCAGATAATGCAGCCGAGCCTTCATAATAAAATTGAAGATGAAGATTGTAATGACGTAATTGATTTTCATGTTATGCAGTTTGGGACTTGAGGCAACGAGGGCCCAACCCAATCTTCTCGGTGAAGGAGAATGGAGACTACATAAGTTCGATGATAACAAACGACGATGGGAAATATTTGGTTTGCGCCAGTGGAGACGGTGTATTAACAACCCTGAACATTCCAGCTAGAAAACTACATGTTCAATCCGAAGAGTACGATGATGAATTCACGTCTCTCGGGCTGTTCAAGGGTAACACCAAGATTCTAACTGCTAGTAACACTGGGAAGATGTACGTCTTCAATTGGGGAGAGTTTGGCTTCCATTCCGATGAATTCCCGAATTCAACGAAGAAGGCTATCAACTGTATTATTCCCATTACTGATAATGTTGTCATTACTGGCGGAGAAGATGGATTGTTGAGGTAATTATCGATCCAACAAAAACCGTAATTGAATAAGAAATATAATAAATTCCTAAGACAGTAGAAATTCCGTACCCTGACCTTTTTGGTGATTGTGCAAATCTTTTAAGAATGATTTATTCTGGGTTACAATAACAAAATGTTTTCAGTAGCTAGACTGTTATTATGTAGATGTTGAGTGTAATTCTGCGCCATTTTTGGATCAGTTGCAAGAATAAATACGAACAAGAAAGAAGAAGAAAAACTCCTCGATGTAGTTGAGAAGACGCCCAACGTTTCGAACGCACTGAGCATTCCTCTTCAGGTGCTTTTTTATTCATCTAGTTCAATAAAACTAAAACAAAATTCCAATAAAACTATTTTTTCAAAAACAGATAATAAAAATTTGACGGAATTTGTTTGCGTTATCAATTGGTTAAACCATTGAAGGAAGACCATTTTAACCTGAAAATTGATACCACTGAGTTTCATCTATAGTAAAGAAATTATTAAATTACTAAAAGTCTGCTGAAAAATGTAATTAAAAAAAATGGATAGTTAAATAAATAATGAAGAAATGTAAAACCAATAAGACACACTCGTTGCTGTGGCAATGACGTCCGAGAGAAACGTTGTGCACTTTCTCAACTGGTATATTGAGGAGTTTTTCTTCCTTTTTATTTTTTCCTATTTATTCTTGCAACTGACCGAAAAAATGGCCCAGGACTACGATGAATTTATTATGATATTGTTCCTTAATAGCAATAATTAATAAGTAAATCTCATAATTGACAAGAGAAAATATGCCGACATCGCAGAATAATAGTCAGTTTTTCTCTTTATCAAATATCAAAATATCCTGACGAGTAATTTCAGGGAACAATGTGCAACAAATTTGTTCTTGAAAATTTTCTCAGTTACAAAAACGGTTCTTCTAAAACCCCAAGTATGCAACCCACAATTTTTTTTTCATAGTTAAAAATATGAATCACTACGAGTATCATTAGCACATGTAGATCGTTCAAATATAAAATCATTTTTGTATCAACTATTAGGTACTTAAAATGTAAATACTTGGCTGAAGGCCACGATGGCCAGTTGCAAGTCCCTTGGAACTTGCAACAAATTCCTTTAAAAATAAAATAATATAAAATCAAATTTCAGGAAAAAATATATAGAGACATTCTTTACTGAAATTTTCCCCAGAAAATAACTATTCTCAGCTGATTTCTCCTAGAATCCATTATTCCCGAGATGAATGGACAATTAATTGGAATTATAAATTCCAATTGAATAGCATCCTGACAAAATGCTGTGAAGAATTAATTATCTAATCATAATTATCTAATCATTCCATCTGTCAATCAATTAATTATTTGTGGACCATTGCAGAGCCTACAGTTTATTCCCACACAGAAGACTTGGCATTGTCGGCCAACACGATTACTCCATAGAAACCCTGGATATTTCCAACGATGGAACGTTAATTGCTTCATCCTCTCATGACAACATCGTCAAATTCTGGAATGTTAAATACTTCGAGACCCTGAACGTAGAGGAGCCAATCAAAGGAGGAAAACAAAAACAGATGAAACACAATTTACCCAGCAGTAAAGTCAGCAATGCTGCTGACTTCTTCGCGGACTTAGAATAGTTTCATTAATTACACGTTACGATAATAGGGAACTTGCATGGTGCTGTTTTCCTTAATTTCCCTTTTCACCCATTCTACGTGACCCATAAATAGTTAAACGAAAAGAATTATGGAAAAATATTGCCTAGATATGTTATAATAAGGGATTGATAATCCGACGTTTTTGAAACCTATTATTTCGGTCATGTCACAAAGTGGCATAAGTAATCTTGGGTAGCACTCATTGGTCGACGGTGAAGAGATAGAGGGGAGATGCCGTCATTCATTGGATAAGACGCACGTGAAGATTGGGTTGGGTTGACTCAAGCCATTCTGTGATTGGTCCAGCGTTCTTCCACCCTTCTTTAACGACTTCAAGGCGTCTGAAATCTTCTAATAAAACTCCTTCCATGGGTCATTCTGAGGTCACAGCCAGCAATAACTAACACCATTTAATTTAAAGCTCGTAGCCAATATTTCGTGGGTGGAAAGCACTCCTCAGGGCCAAATTTAGGACTAGATTTCAATTAAATGGTGTTAGTTATTGCTAGATATGACCGCAGAATGGCTCAATAAGGACTTTCACTAAATAGTTGGAACCGATTGAAAAATCATTAAGTCTGAAATCGTCAACTTTGGACAATCAATTATCAATTAACGACCAATATTTCTAATGTTTATAAATGAGAAATTAATCATTCAAACCCCAAACTTGGGATGAAAAAATTGAAAAAAATTCATGCAAGTTCCCTATTGAAACATTACTTAAGGAATAACTGTAAAATGATACGAACTGGTTTGTAATATTATATTCAATCAATTAAATTTTGTTATTTATAAAATGTTCAATATATTCTATCCAATCCTTCCACCTCTGGCTTTTTGTCAATCGCTCGGTTGATGTTTATAGAGTTTATCCTCAAGACTGTGTGCTGCACTCTTCGAACTAGAAACAATTTAATTTATCAATTGTATAATTATTTTATGATTGTTTCATATTTAGTTACCCTAATACAAAAAATTAGAAACTTAAATTGGAGCGAATATAAAGTTTCCATTTGGAAGCCAATGTGCAGTTTCAGGATTAATTTGACTGTTTATCTTGGGTACTCACAATGAATTCGACGATACTGCTTTCTCCTCCTCATTCTAAACTCTGTTTTCGTATGTGACATAGTTTTTTCAATGACAGTGGCATCGACATTCGCCAGTTCTCGATTCAACAGTGGTCTCCCAACGACAGTAAAATCAGTTCCACCAACGAGGAGAACTTTCTCGAGTTTCAATTTGTCCCCGGGACTGGGGGGCCAGTACCCTTGGATTATTATCAAGTCATTTTCAGTGACTTTGAATTGCTTCCCAGCAACTTGGACAACGGCGAATAATCGACTTGTGTTGCCTGTCTCCAGTTGATTATTGATTTTTTGTGTTACTGCTGCAAGAGGGGAAAATACTCGATTTCAAAATTTAGCAGAGAAGGCTTTTGTAATTAGCAAATCATCTCACTGATGACTAATTCTGGGAAAAATTATTAAAGGATGTTATCTACTTATAAATGATCTCATCTCTAGGAAAACGGCTTCAGAAATTTTTTGTTAATTCAACTTGAACGTCACTCATCTTGGTAATTATTGAATCATTTTGACAATGAGTGATTGTTTAAGGAATCATTAGATTCCTCATCTCTAGGAAAAGGTCTTCACAGAGCTCCTCGCGATTGTGCATTTCTCGCGTTCCTGAGACAAATGCCCAATTGACAGAATTTCTTCGTTAATGCGCGTTATCAATATCCAAGTACTTTGACTATTTTTTCGCCAGTGAAATATTTCTCTCCTTTCATAGTCTGACATCAGCTATCATTTGGGTACGATACCACCCTACGTTTCCGGACATTTACAATGATTTTATTATTTAAACTTTGCAGGGCTGAATTTTGAATTTTGATAGTGAGCCATTATCAATTTGTGGACAGGGGTTAGTCTCTTTTTTTTTTTTATGCTTATTTTATATCGCTTCGAGTCTGATGAGACTATATGGCGATTGATCAAGACTTTAAAAATGGTTAGATCTCACCATTCTACCCGGCCAGGAATCGAACCTGGAACCTATCCGTTGTGAGGCAACGGCCTTAACCACTACGCCAGGCCACCGGGAGGGGTTAGTCTCTGGACGATTTCAACTTGTATTGAATATTCGTGTATAATCATGTGATCAATAATTTGTTCTATTCATCGACATTCAATAAATGAATAAAAATATGGCCCAAATGTCCACAAATTAGGGGTTTCGGCTGCATTCAACTATTTCTTAATTTAATTATTCTTTATATTTACATTAGACTAAAGAAAAGTAGCTTTGAATTCATCCAATAGAATTCCTCCTGTTTTTTCTCTTCTGATCATTTCATGAAAAACCTGTTATATAACAATTATAATGAAATATTAAATTATGAGTCGCAAGTCGAAATGAAGATGCTTATGCAAATGTAAAGCTCTAAAAGCAGCATCAATGAAATGAAATTTCTCTCTCAATCTTGTTGTCTCCTCTTCGAAGGAAGTCTTTTGACACTTTTTCGTAAGATCACTCTCCGATAAAAGTTCAAAATTAAAAATAAATTAGGGTAAACAGTTCAATTTCTGAACGGGGGTTAGTCTCTAGACGATTTCAACTTGCACTGAATATTCGTGTATAATCATGTGATCAATAATTTGTTCTATTCATCGATATTTAATAAATAAATAAAAATATGGCCCAGATGTCCAGAAATTAGGGGTTTCGACTGCATTCAACTATTTCTTAGTTTAATTATTCTTTGTTCTGTTTTCACTTCAAATAATTTTTTTCTGCTAATTAAAGGATTCTTGAAGGTATGGACACTCGTATGGACATCATATCCCCATTTAGGTGTTTCTTTTATTTTAGATTCTACTACGAAACTCGAATTTCCCTTAACCGTCCAGCAATAGTCCTATTCACCCTATAAAACTGAAAGAAATAACTTACTGTCCATCAGCTTTTCCTCTTCCGGAGTCACCTCCGGCTCCTGAAGCTGCTGTGGCTGAGGCCGTGGCATCCATGGCAAAAAAGTTTTATAACCAGCTGCCAAGGGCCTCAACAATTGCTTCGATTTCTCTATAAAAAAAATCATACAATCGAATTGAACAATCAAAGTGAATTATCTACCGCTTCAAAATAATTAAGTGTGCTCTTCCTGCTATACAACTTTCGCATACCCACATAAAATTACTATAAGAATATGATGGAAGACAGTAATTATTGAATCAAATAAATCCAAACCTGGAGTTGATAAATTCATAATAGTTCCACTGAAAATCCTCTTTGATCCACAATTTAAAGCCCCAAATAATCTCGATAACCTAGCAATCCCCGCCATGGCTAACCAACAAAACGACCGACTGTTTTCTACTCACTTCCTCTCTCACGCAATCACCCCCACCGCCCTTCCGCGCCAACAAATCGTCTGTGACGCCTTTCAAACCCAAGCAGCACAGTTCTGGAGGGTATCTGCAAGTATACTAAAAAGGCTGTCTAATGTCTGTCCAAAAAGATAACTTGTGTCTAGAAGTTACCTAGAAGTTAACTAAAAGTCATCGTATGACTGCAAGATACCTTTTGGACGGACATTAGTCAGCCTTTTTGGTATACTTTCAGATATCTTTCGCAAGGTTTGCTACTTGGGAATGTAGTTAAGAGGGTGCCAAGTGAATTTGGCGATGACCTTGAAAATTGACATTCACCAACAAAGATTTAATTTTTTTAATTAATAGTATTAGACAGATGGTGAACATCGGTGACAATTTTAAAATTTTAGAACTTATGGATATCGAGAAATTAAATAAACAAAATCAGTCTTATACACGGCCTCTTATGGAGTTTTGATTAAATTGAACGTTTCAACCCCCTAGGAACTCAAGAAAAATTTGGAAAAAATTGAAGATATGGGGAATGATGTGTTCAATGTGATGGCGGCAAAAAACAATGGGGTACCGGGGTGAATAAGAGAGATATTTCAACCCGCCGTACCCATTTGATCCCATGCTTTCTCGAGGTTCGTCACGCGAAATAGAGGATTTTCCGCATTTATTTTCTCGATGTCTAGTTCCGGTTGCGGGTTTGAAATTTCGTCGGATGGATGAATACATTTCTCCAATGATGGAGGGAAAGAAAAAATTTGTTTTGAATCTTTTTTCAAATTCATTTGGCACCCTTAACTCATGAAAAGAAGATATCCAGCGTAAATATTTTCAAAAACATCTTGTCTAGCAGAAAACAACATAAGACTTTTTTGTAACATATGAAGTTCTCTGCAAATAACTTTTTAATTTTTTTTCTCTGAATGTCTTCCTTCTCGAGATATTTACAAATAATTCGTGAATATTGTGAAGGAATTATTATCTCTTAGCTTCTGAATTTCAAAACTATACAGTTCATTGGGAAATACCAAAAGATCTTTTTTGTAGCCCACGAAATTCTCCATAAAATTTTTTTTTTTACATTTTCTTCTAATTTCGGATGTTAACGAAATATCAACTCAAAAAAGCAAATTATGCAAATATCTTCAAAATCATCTAGTCCAGCAGAAAACGCTATAAGACTTTTTTGTAACATAAACAATTCTCAGAAAATAAGTTTTTTCATATTTCTCTCTGATTGTATTCCTTCTAGAGATATTTACAAATGATTCATGAATCGTGATGGAATTTTATCTCTGCTTCCAAACTTCAAAACTATTAAATTCATTGGGAAATACCAGAAGAACCTTTTAGCCCACAAAATTTGCCATAAAAAAAGTCTTGCTGTAGGATTTGCGATGGTCGGGAGTAACAAATCACTACTAAACGAATAAACAATTTAATATATTTATTCGCCGAAGCGTCAGTCTCAACAACTATAATGAATATTGATTTGATACTCAGTTGCGCTCGATACAACGGATGCCGATCAACTGCTAACGGCTCCTGTGCGATAGGACGCCGTGATAGAATAATTCAGTAGAGGCGCGAAATGTAATTCTCTATTATTGTGTTGGTATATCCGTGAGAGGACAGCAACGAAATATTAAATGCCTGAGGGTGACGTCAGACTGTCTCCTCAGTTAGGATGTAGCGAGGCGCTACATGTCTCCCCTGCTGGGAGAGAAACGTAGTTTTTCAGAGAACTGAAACAAAAACAGAAAAATTAAATNCCAACGGCTCCTGTGCGATAGGACGCCGTGATAGAATAATTCGGTAGAGGCGCGAAATGTAATCCTCTATTATTGTGTTGGTATATCCGTGAGAGGACAGCAACGAAATATTAAATGCCTGAGGGTGACGTCAGACTGTCTCCTCAGTTAGGATGTAGCGAGGCGCTACATGTCTCCCCTGCTGGGAGAGAAACGTAGTTTTTCAGAGAACTGAAACAAAAACAGAAAAATTAAATTTGCTCAACGACAGGATAGCGTGGAAATTCTCTGCTGTCTCCCGGGTGTCGTAATGCTCGAGTCCGGAGGCTGCCTGGGGTCGTAAGTCCGTGTTTCCAATTGGTCGTTAAAAGTGACCCTCCTGGGCTGGCCAGAGGTTCCTACTGCCGTG